ATATTAGAATTTCTGACATAAGGGATCCTTCTATCCTCTTCTTATCTCCTAATTTATTTATTCAGTCACGTATTATGAATGCCATTTTCTTCTTTTCTTTTTGTTATATATGTTTGTGTTAGTTTCTGAGAGTGTGTGTATACTGGTCTTAAACATAAGAAGACAACAAAGAAAACAAGGTAGGAAGTAGATCTAACAGCAGATACGTTTTTGATATGTGCAAAGAGAATGATTTTCTTACTTTTACATATCAAAGTTTTTCAACTTAAAAGAAACTTTTGTTAATTGTTTTGAACTATAGTCGATATGTTATTAAACAATAGTTATATATAACATCATTTTATGAACGACCCCTAGTCGACGTTCTTGTTAAGCAAGAATGCAAGATCTTGTGACATTTCTTGCCCAAGAATCGTTTCTTGCACATTCTTGCCTCTTTCTTGCCCCAAGAAAGTATTTTTCTTGCACAAGAAAAATATATGAAAACTTTCTTGTGACAAGAAACTATCTTTCTTGCGCAAGAAAGCAAGAACACTTTTCTTGTCACTTCTTGCAGTAACCATCTTCGCTGCAAGAAACAAGATCTTGCAGTAAAAAGAATCAATCTTGCGTTAAAGGATGGAAGCGTTAGCATGTGTTTCTTGCAATGAATAAAATTGCTACAAGAAGTTCTTTCGTTCTGTAGGTAGTGCAAATGGTCAATGGATTTTTCACGTGTATTTTGTCCGATGTAAATTTGCAACGAAGAAAAACATGCTTCATATAAACGCATATATATACTTGTCTAACATTTTGAAAAGCGAAAGAATTTATATAGTACACATAGACTTATATGGCAGCCACGTATGTGACGATGTTACAAAACTTTTTCTAAAGTTCAAAACACCGTTATCACAATTTCTATGACGAGTTAAGAAGAATTATAGAAAGCGAGAGCGTGTTTACAAATAAAATTGCTGTGTACTTATTTTAAGCTCAACTTCGAAGAGAGTCTGAGGTGAATGATTCAACTTGATTGCATTATGTTCCCAAAGAGAAAACCGGGTAAAACATGGTGAAATCAGTGTCTTCACTACCTTAAGAAAAACTTTCTTTTCAAAAGATTTGTATCAATAGTTTTTGTTTTTCATTCTTTTTCTATATAGAAATTCCTATTCATCGAAATTTTTATGCTCTTGTGTAGCAGTATTTGAACTATCTTCCTCTTTTTATATGCACATGTCTCTGAGAAATGTTTCTCACTCTTCTAGTTAAAGAATGGAAACCAGTAGTAACTATGAAAAGTAGGTTTCGAGAACCTTTTAACGCTTCTAACAGTGCTCACAATTACAGGTTCATCATCCTGAAATGGTTTGCTGTGAAGCGGAGATCTTGCCGCGATATAAGCAATTTAAACACGATCACCAGTGAAACAGTCGATTTCAATAGCGATCGTGCGGCGAAACAAGCAAATTCAGTTACAATCTTGCTACCATCTCAATCGCGATCCTGTCGCGAACTGTTTCCGGATACAACAGCGAATTTTTCGCGAAACGCGAAAAATTGACGAATATGTGCGTCCGCGATTCAAATTGGGTATTGCGCGGCAAGCTTGTGACAAGATTACTATGGCCTCGCGACGTGCAATGAAGCGCGGATTCTACTAGGGTAGTTGATTCCCTGCAAAAAGAAAGCAAGAATTGCGTTTCTTGCCCATTCTTGCTGGAAGTTGATTCTCTGCAAGAAACCAAGAAATAAAAACAAGAATAGTCACCATAAATGAAAGAGACTTCATGCACCAAGAAAGCAAGATCTTGTGACATTTCTTGCGCAAGACCTTGGGCAATAAAGCCCTCGCAAGAAAGTCGACTAGGGACACAGCTGTTCTTCTATCATCATCATACTTTTTTGAGCAACAAAGATCTTTTTTACCATTTTTTCTAAAATCTAAAAGTTGATTACTTTTACACAGTGAAATCAAACTTTTTCTCGTCGTTCTGCTCTCCGCGAATTATTTTCTCATTGTATAAATAGTTTTCTTCGTTAATAGTAGATTTTAAAATGTTTATACGTCAGTCACGATGCGTTCGATAGTCAAAAACATTTTGACTCGTGCGTAACTCGACATGCCCTACACACCGGATATATCAGAAATTGATTTCAGAAAGAAATGTTGGCTTTGGAAAACCGATTTTCTCAAAGCATGATTCTTATAGGGCCTAGCAGTCATCCCGACTATGATATTCACAATCAGCATTATCGATTATCTATAATCACACAACTTCCATCAAAAAAAAGATGGGTCGTTTCAAGTTGACGACTTTCTCTCGTCAGTCAGATCAAACATTAGAGCTCTACCATTTAGTGCTTTTTCTTATGTGACATACAGAACTCTGCATGTGAGATATATCTGCCCATGCGAGAAAATGAAAAGAATATTTCTTCTATATTTCTCTCTTTTTTGATGTATTTCTTCTTTCCATACAGCAATTACTTTTACAAGCGGAGTAATTTCATTATTCTCACCTTATTTTTAAACTTTTTCCAAAGCGTCTTCCACCATTGTGTAGCTGAAAGTCTCAGTAATAGAATGAAAAAAGGAGGTAGACTTTAGCATTTGAAATGAGGGAGATCTTAGCAGTATAATACATTCTGCTTTATATACTAAATTGAAGACTGAATAATTTAAGAAAGGAAGGCATTTTATAGATTAAATTATATATGATGGACGAAGTGATTGATGGAATTGTTCTGCAGAAAGGAATGACGTCATATAAGAAGAGCGCTCTATCTGCATCTTTTTTATGTCTGCATGATGTTGTATCTTTTTGTCTGCATCTTTTTCTTTTTCAATGTGTCATCAGTAGAACAACTCGTGTAGATCGTTTTAAAGTGATGACTCATTCTCACAAATGTGGTCGAAAGTTCTCATGTTAAAAAAGTCTTTTTCCTTTTTCATTCTGCTTTAACAAATGTGGTCGAATGTTGTCGTATGCGAGATAAAGAAAAAGCACTAAATAGCAGAGCTCTGTTGTGACGTCAAATTTCTTTTACCTCAACAAAAAGACAAAATTCAGTAGCTCTATTCCTTTTCTTTTCTTAAGGCGAACAAGACAAATTTTCATCTTTTTTCCGATAATTTTTGATAAAATCGCATTTTTTGTCGCAAGAAACTATGATACACAAAAAGAAAGGCACACTTCGGAGCACCACAACGTCCATTATAGTTTCATTTTCATGCAAGCCATCGTGTTCAAAATAAGCTGCTCTTGCGTTGTGTTATAGGTGACAAAGTAATAGAGATAGAAGTTTCACAGTATTCTATTTAATTTTTTATTTTTGGAGTTTACAAAAGTATGTTCCTTATGTTTTAGTCGAGCTGCATTTGCTGTAGAGGAATACTAAGAGTGCCATTTAATCTGGGACACTCGATAGAAAGTGCCACACCTGTTACCTGTAGTTTCTGAGCATGCGCATGATATGCATACTGATGAAGAATACACACTAAGGTAAGCTGACAATGTGCTGCTGTTTTTTTCCACTGCACATGGTGTCCGAATGAATTTTTTCTGTTCTGTTATTTAACTACAAGAGGCGACAACTTACAAGAACAGAAAAAAGTTCTCTTCACGTTGAGAAAATGCACATTATCATTACAAGACTACTTGCAGCATTTTAGCTTCAATGGAATGTTTGTTGGTTATAAGGGGAAGGTTATTTGTTTAAGTAAGTATCCTGAACTCCTTTACTTTAAGACTAAATGTAAATATGTATATCACTCTCATACTCTCTGCCAGAGAAACTGAAATCATACAGAAAAAAACAAAAACAAACAGAAATGAGAGAAAAAGTGGAAGCACGTTTTTATAGTCAGTGAAGTCAGCAAACAGACACACAAAACGCCGTTATATACAGACGTTTTCGTCCTCGTACATTGCCGTAAACATGCTATCTGATATGTGCTTCTGCAGGGGATCGAAAAAATGTCGAGACGTTACCGTTTCTTTCAAAATTTCTGTTAACTGCTCACTTGCACATGTATTGCTCGCCAACGGTAAGGATCGGAGTTATTCATTTTGTCTGATGCAGCATTCGTTCTTTTTAGTTTATTAACACTTTCAACAATCTGATTCGTTTATTCTCAACAGATATGTACGGTTAGAGAAACAAGGCACAAAACCACCTTTTTGCATTTGACTTTTCCTAGTTTCTTTTTGGATGGGGCTAAAGGGTAGTCGCGAGTCCGTAACATGTTCAAGTTGTTCTGTGTATAAAATAGTGTAAGAGAAACAATAACTATAGTCGATTTGAAATTTAAGACACATTCGGTAAAAAACTAAACCTACGATTGTTGTCATTCGAAAGAAAAGATCTGAATGAACTGAATCATTTAAAGCTTATGGGAATCCCAGAATATTTCACTGATCCTCTTTTAAAAATAGGTCACCACCGCTCAGGGATCAATCAAACCAGAGATAAATCTCTCAACCTATTACAGGATCTGTGAGATAGCTGTATACGCACAGTGACGATGAAATAAAAAATCTGCATTTTGTGGAGCCTTGCTGATGTAATTTTTTCTCTGTTTGAATCCGTTGTTTTTGATGAGTTTATTGCGAAACGGCAACTCTATATTTTTGAAAGATGATCACTTTAACATTTGCTTATTCTCATGGATGTTAGGTTATCGATTCAGGTCTTCTTTATGGAAGGATGAAAATCGAAGGTTTCAGCTATGTGTGACCTGAGGCTTTTCAAAACGAATGCATCCTTTCAGCGCCTTGAGACGTTTTTGTTCCGGTTCCTTTTCTGTTGGAGTGGGATTCTGACTGAAGCTGTCGGACATTAGATGCAGCGTACTAAGTATGGTATTATTACGATCAGTTATCCATTTCCATAGATCGTAGCGCCAGGTTCGACTCTAAAATCGTTTAGAAACCATCACTCGTTTGTGTATATCATTGACTGATATACGAAAAATTATTTGAACAGCGTACTCTTGCAATTAAAAGACAATCAAAATGGCACGCGCGATCGATCCTCAAGAGCTAGATCCCGATCTACGAATAACAAGGAGTTTTGACGATGCCTGGCGTACCGACCTTCGTCTCATCCGTGAGCTCAGCCTGCAGGAAAGGCAGGCGGAAGAGGATCGAGCCTTAGCCGCAAGACTCGCTGGAATAACGATTAATGAAGTCTCAGAAGATATCCGGAGGATGGCGATGCTACTCGACGATTTCGACGACGACAGTGACAACGAAAAGGAGGAGACAGGTATGTTCAATTCTTATTATAAAAGTTATCAAATCAAGGTAGAATGCGACACCAAAAGCTTAGAGCTACCGCGACTTGTTACTAGAAGGATTCAGCCACGCAACTACTGTTATGGCTGCTACTACCGGTGTCTCCACCGTTCAAACAACAGCGCCCAATCTTGTCAAATCGAAACCGTGAGTCATTGTTTTTCGAAGCTTTATCTTTAAACTCTACTTTATACTGTATCACTAGAGTGAAATGTGCCGTATGTCTAGAATGGGTGACCAAAAACGATCCTCGTACTCCATGTGGTCATGCATACAATGTGGAATGTCTCAAAGAGTTGTTCATGGCAGCAATGCAGGATGAAAGTCTCATGCCACCACGCTGCTGTCGGCAGGAGATTCCTATCACCTTAGCACGGTTTACGCCCAGAGAGACAGCGAGTTTCAATGCGAAACGCCTCGAGTATTCAACGACCAATCGTCTCTATTGTTCACAGCCTAGCTGCTCTACTTTTATTCCACCTGCGCAAATCGCCCACGGTATCGGCACTTGTCCAAAGTATGTATAGAAACGGTACTAGACTTTTACTGTACTACAATATTCGCACTGTAGAAAAGAAGTAGCGATTTTTCACTAGCGAATTAAGAGAAAGAGCAGTTTTGAATACATGACAGAATAAACTCAAACTGCTACCAAAAATATGTTAGATTAATTAACCCTTTTTTAATGGTAGAAATTTGAAGATATTCGTTATTTTGCTTCATCAATATCAATGCATCGTATCATACATATATATAAATGTACGACATTATCTTATTAAGAATTCTTCCATACCAAACAAAAAATGACAGTTAAAGTCGAGCAACACATTCCTCTAGGAAACGATAAAATATTTCTAACTAAATAAGACAAAATGTTTCTAAATTTCAGTAGAATACGATTCATTCTAAACATTAGCAAAGATTTTCACTAATGTTCAGCAAAAACACGCGCACTACGAATAAGAATGATTTCTCTCTAAATGTTAGAGTGAACATCATCTAACAAATAGAATAATATCTGCTTAAAATCTGGCAGAAACTGAGATTAGTGGTAACTCTCTCGAAGGGCAAACTGGCAATTAGAGAATTTTTTCTTATAGTGAGCGAAACTGAAGGCGATTGATGTAGATTATAGAAGAGCTTTTATTCCCAACTCAACGATGATTTTGTTTCAAACTTTTCACACTAAATGGCTAATTGTAATACATTTACGAAAACATCGGAAGCATAGCTTGCATGCTCTCTTTGAAATAGAGGAACTGAATCTGAAAAACTCACTGACGTGTTCCATTCGTAAATTAAGACATTGAACCGACAAAGTCAGTAGGGAATTCAAGAGATTTCTGGAAACGATTATATAACCAGAACTTTGAGTGTATTAATAAGTGAGTGTATAGAAAAGCAAAAGTATTCTGTTTTTCTATTGTTCTTTGGAAGAATAGTTTTGTGCTCAAAGTCAACGGATAGCATTTTTGATTAGCAACAAAAACTGAACTGGAAAAGAGTCTTGTAAAGAAGACGGTTATTTCAGCATTTATCTTGCTCCAAGCAAAAATCAAGTGACCATTGCTTTATCTACTCTTAGAGCATCAAGAAATGCTCAAAACGTTTTTCCTTTAGAGGAGGTGATTCTAAGGAATTATCTCTTTGAATGTCAAGGTTGTATAAAACGTTCCCCATTAGAATTTTACTAACAACTGGGTTTTGCAGAGCAAACATTTTTCTACAAGACGAGCTATAGAGCGAAAGCCTTCATGTTTCCATTTCTGTCGCAACTGCTTCTCGATGAAGAGCCCTAAATCGGTTATACTCGACGATGAAACTTTTAAGAAATAATAAGTACCGGATCAAGACAAAGAAAGCTCTCATAGCGCATCTTGTAGACAAATGTTTGCTCCACAAAACCTGGTTGCTAGAAAAATTTTAGAGAACCAGTTCTTGATGAGAAAACTTTTGCGCAAAAAGCACACAATTTCAATCGATTATGACCAGTGCATGCTTAGTCCCAAACAGGTGTCACTTTTAAAATCTGTATTTAAACGAAAATCTAAGATTCCGACTCGTAACTCCGAGAATTGAATGAACATATTATCTATATCATTCGTGTTTTTATTTATACATAAGGCCGGGCTGCGGAGCCACCACATGTTCGATTTGCAAAGCGACCAGTCATGGTAATCGTGATTGTCCAGAAGACGCAGACACGCAGGCTGTTCTTGTTCAAGCTCGGGAGGCTGGCTGGACCCGCTGCTATCGGTGTCGAACAATGATCGAACTGTCTCAAGGCTGCTACCACATGACGTGTCGATGTCGCGCCGAATTTTGTTACGTGTGCTCGGTACCTTGGAAGAATTGCACGTGTCCTCAGTGGGACGAGGAGCGTCTGCTCGTAGAAGCCCGCATTCGTACTGCCAGGTATTTACCAAAAGGATATGCGAGAAAAAGATACTGGAGATTTTCCATCAAACGTTGTAGAGAGAAAATCTTCGTCTTTAGTCTCTGACGATTTTTCAACTGGAATATTTGCGAAACTATTCGCAAATCACCCAGTCTTGCTATTAAGCTAATGTATAGAGAATTTGATTAAAACACACACCGACAGCAGCGACTCAACAACTTAGTTTTATAAAGGACTGATTATTATTGTCTAAGTACTTTTCACGTTTCAAAAGAATTGAAGTTCTCATCGGGTCACCGACACATTGTATGTCGCTAGTTTATCGGAATGTGTCAAATTAGACTACGTAGCGGCTGTTAAAAGATACAAACTAGCACTTATATCTCACAAAACTAAGTATGAGCTCTCAGAAATTCTCAGATCCCAGGTGTATGAAAAAAGAAATATCTATGCACTTCTAATTCAATTAAAATTATGAACTTTCGAAGATTTTGCCGTTCTGCGGCACGAGAGTGGCTAACTATCACAGTGCATAGATGGTTTATGTGCTATCCACTTACAACGTGCTGGGTTTTCAGACAAAAGGAGTATAAAAAACATTTTTCGAGACTAGTAACGGCTGCTACGCTTTAATTCGTTCAATTTTTTTAAACTGTAGCAATTCCGATAAAGTCATTTTCTAAACGTATTTTTCATGGTTGGCGACTTGATGATTACTGTAGTAGGACATTGAAATTCCCAATCAATAGGTTACAATGCCAAAAAAATTTCGAAAATATATCGTCCTAAACGTTCATTATCACAGTCTGATCTGATCTGAGACTTCTGCAATTTACTAACAATTCTTTTGATTGACAGGGTTCCACATCAAGTACCACAAGCTGCTGAACGACTGGATTTGCGTGTAGAACGCATGGCTAATCAGCTGCGTGCCAATCATGAGTGCCGACACACGGAAGGCTGGGCATACACACGAGGAGGAGGTAGATGCGAGGAGTGCGGCCACTATCTGCCACAATACCTGTTTCGTTGTTATCGCTGCCATCTGATGGCCTGCAATCGATGCCGACGCAACCGATTATAATGGTGTCGAATTCTCTTATTCTTCACGTTGTTGCAGTATATTTCTTTCAATAATAAACACGGTTCTTTAATAAAAGTTTAAAACACGATTTTGATGCTGCACATCTGTTTTTATAGTGAAAAAAGATGAGATAAACTCGAAGATGATGCCTATTCAGTGATTACTTTTGCTTGGAAGATATAACTTCAGATATGGCATGATCAGACGGCCGATTAGACGTAGTTCCCAAGAAATGACTAAGAGATTTTTATGAATCATGTAAATCGACGAGACCGGCCGTATGTTCCGAAAATAAAACTCAATACTTCTTTCTGCCTGGCCTTCTCTAGCTCCTACCCGCTCCTTTACACTTGCGAATTTACTCTTTATGAAGCAATTTGAGAATCTAGATAACTCTAAAGTTTGTAAACTACATCTTCTAGTTACCACTTACATCAAAAACTCTGCGCGTTTTTCAGTCAAAAGAATGTTCACCACTCTCTCCTTTTTCTTGTACACTTATTTATAAGTTACTTTGTATCTTTTTTTATTTTATTTTATTCTTCTTCCTTTTGTTAATGATATTTATTTATTTGATTTTCGTCTTTCTGTATCTGTTATTAGTCAGACCTAATGTGTATGTGAGTGTGTTTATCTTTAATATTATTGTACGTTAGCAACTTGTTTCGTCATGAACAGACAAAATGATGTCATGGGTTTTTCCTCTTTCTTTTTGTGCTGGTCTTATATTTATTTTTAACGTAATTCTTTTTCTTCTTGCCTTCTTATTAAATAAAGCTTACAACAAAATAAAACTCGAAATTGAAATTTCTGTCACCACTGTCTAATGTTGAACTCACATTTGACGAGCGGCCGAACAACTAAGATGTTTATTATCGAAAATTTTAAGTCTTTCAAAAATATTTCAATATACTTTGTTTCCTCGCATATAATGTTTTATAAATTACCCATGTCTGGGTTTGGTAAGGCGTTTCTCAAGGTAAAGTAGAAAAGGATGAACAATAAAATATAAATAAATAAAATATATGGGTATTCATTCAAATCCTCGTCAAACGACTCGATCTCCACATAGTTTAAAACCTAGGACAAAAGAAGTATACTGTGGGACATTGTCATAATGAGTAAATTATTGCAATAATAATTAAATCTATCGAAAAGCAAAAAATAGTGTTGGGCCGAATTATCCTATAACACCATTCCAAGTAGCTCAACAAATCGATAATTTTCCATAAGACGACCGTGTTTGTAATCATTATAAACAAGTATATTTAAAATTACGAGCCAACATCATGAAGTATGTTCGGCTAACTGGAAGACTTTTTCATTTTAAATTGACCGTGTATTTTTCCACGTCTTTAATATACGAGAAGCGATCAGCATATGATGATATATAAGAATTTCGTCCTAGTGGCTTGATAGAGCTCCTTTCGAAATACCTATCCGAGCAAAATCTCGGCCACATCTATTATCGTTCATCAGAAAACAGAATTTTTATGAATATCGTCAAAAAAAGATGCATGATTTTGAGTCGTGTTTTTTGTGCAGTCAGCTAAGGCTGTCACTGAGAGGCTCCTATAGAATATGATTCTATATAAATTTCTCTTGGAAAAATTTCATTCAGACCAGACCTACTAACAAATTCAGTTACACTGCGAACTGTGAATGTTTT